TTGTGCCAAGATTAGCTAGCCGCCCCTGTGCGAAGGATCCGGTATCACTAGATTCACTAGATATCTACCTTAACCTTTCTGCAGCTTTTTCAAAAACAGAGTAGCAGTTGAACTAATGCAACAGCAACCTTGTGCCACAATCAGCGTGTCGGGTTTATGGCAATATGTGAGTGTGTGAGTGTGTCTTTGTTCATTTCTTAAGTTTCGAGCAGCAGATCATCGGTCTCTGAACGGTAAACTAAACCCTGAACCCCAATAGAGTCGCGGCAGGTCCGTGCTCGGCGACAAGCACCACACCTGGGGCATTGCACGCGCTGCAAAGCATGCGACTTGCAAGTGTTTTCGAGTCAAGATGGTGAAGCGGACGGTCGTGCAGACTGCCGTTGCAGAATTTGATTCGCCGTTTTGGCGATGTGGTGTGCGGGCATGTGCGTGCTTTGCCTGACCGCCGCATTGCCGAGTGACTAAACCCAGGTCGTTCCCACCTTCCGGAAATGCATCGCACATCGCAGATCACCAGCGAAGATGCAGGTGCGTAGGCTGAGCCTTTTTGTTGCCGGGAAGGACATCCTTGCACCCTTGAGGCCTTTCCCTTGGTTCTATGAGGTCATGCGCTTGGCAAGCAAGTCAAACGGTCCCGGCCAGCAATTCCTAGAGGAAGCGATCCCAGTACGAGTTCCCTGCGCATGCCCGGCGTCCCTGCTCCACAGGGGCTTCATTTCTGCCGTGGGTGGATCTCTGGAGCAAGACCACTTTGTACCATCACAAGCGCTCTCACAGTACATGAATCTTCAGATCCTTGGGACCTTCCCTGCGACACACCCGCTCCGACGCAGAGACCAGCTCTTGTCGACGCGATAGAGCATTTGCAAATGTTGTCTTGCTTGCACCCGGGTGCATAGTGGGGTGGCTGTGGGCGCTGCTGAGCAATTGCCGTGATGCACCGGCATGCTAGTTTTGGGAGATCGTCAAGGTGCCTTCATAAGTTTCACAAGTGCAACCTGTGCCACGAGAGGGCAGCCTCGATGCAG